AGCATGGAAAACTCGCTCTGGTCTCGGTAGACATCACACATGCCCTCAACCGCGTTCGGCACGGTCTGCTGTCGAAATTACCCTCGTTCGGATTTCGGCTCTCCTATCGTGACTGCAATGTTTCCTTAGTGAAACAACCGCCCCTGACCGAATGGTTGGGCTCTCAGCAAGGTTGCATACCTTCACCCACTCCGTTTCAACTCACGGCCTTGGTGACGTCATTCGCCATTGCTCACCTTACTCCGCGACCCGCCATCGACATGGGTAGCAGTCGGAATGTCAAGANCAAGAACGCTTCCCTTGCCTCCGATCTCGGTAAGGAGTTATGCCAACCATGTGCTTCAATGTTTCCAAAACGACACCCCTTGAACATGCCCTCACTCGGGCTTATACTTAAATTTCCCTCGCTAGTGGTCTCGTATTTTTGCACTTATCCTTTGCGCAGCAAGCAGCTGATTTTCTACTCCACGCCAGGCGCTTGTTGACAAACACTTCTTCGAGCTCAAGTCCGCCCGATGCTCGAATGCTGCAGTCAGGCATGAAACGGAGCTCCATATTTAGCTCTTCTCGATTGCTAGGCTGATCAGTGACTTTAAATTTGCACTTACTTCTTCATCCCTTCTTTAAACGCTATTGTGATTACCGTCGCGGTGTCCTCATCTCGTCTACCTCCAGCAGTCGTCCTTATAAAGGTACCCATCCCTAGATGTTGAACTTCTATCCTCCGGGACTGTGGAACACTTACATCGCCGTATTATCAACCACTAGTATTCATACTCCTTTCGAAAACAATTAGTTCTCACCTGAGTTTCTTGACAAAGATCTCCCCTCACAGAATGCCACTGACTGTGATTAAGACCCTTGCCCGGAAGTCACGTTGCTCAATAAAAACGATCTAAATTATCATATGTATCTGCATAAACATTCTGGCCTAACAAGTGACAATGGTATGGCCGACGCAAAGCTGCATGATCATCAGTGGCCAACCAGCCAGTTAATCTTTTGGATTCTAAACGGAAACAATGCCTGAATTAACGCATGAGCGACCGAACATGTCATTCCACCAAGTACNGAAACACGTTCGCGTTGTACCAGGGAACCGAAAAGCCTACGTAGAGCTTTAAGCCCCTTCGCGCTAAGTGCAGCTGACGCCTTAGCCATAAGCAACGTTAGTCACCATCAACTGCAATGGCTTTCCAGGTGAACAATGCTGCCGATTTGCACTCCACCGTTAACCAACGACGGACATGCACAGGCGCGTCCTTAAAAAAGAATACGCTCGAAGGGGGCCTATCACAAGACATAAGTAGCCAAGTCAACCACCTCGCGCTGAAACACCAACATGGTCAGTGTAGTTCATTCTAGCAAGTCAATACACCCCCAACCTGAAGGGTTCACTCGGAGTTAAGCTTGAAAGTGCTCTGCTCGACACCACGACCAAAACTGGTAAAAGCCAGCTCCATCCAACGACCATTAAATCAACCCATAATGAAGTGTGGTGGCTGCAGACCGAATTTTCGGTGGCAACGCTAAACTGCGCACCGTCGGTGATCACATGTGGTGATTAACGGAAGCAGTTGTGATTCGACAAATAGACCTTTCTACTGTATTGCTAGAATTTCAGTGTCCGGAGCGGATGCGAAAAACGAGAAATTATAAAATTCCCATCAGCTATCTTAGCTTCCAAAATTAACTTCTCCACTTATCACAGTGAATACTTCGTAAACTGACTTTGAGTGAAGTGAAGAAGGCAGTGCCGAACTAATTCATATATTCACATTCATTTAACAAGTTGGTAGGCAACGCGATCCAGATCCCGTCGTCCCGCAGATGTGAGAGTGCGACCCCTGAAAAAAAGTGCAAGAGCTTTATGTAATTGATATTTTGATGAGCGATTATTACACATTCAAATGTTAACCCAGACCTTCCAGTTCACCATCAATAACGTTTTTTTTATTACACACCTAGGTGTGATGAACAGCAGACGGGGTAAACCCCACAGTCAAGAAGATCTACTGTTCAGTGGTTGAAATCGGCAACGTAAGCCCCGGAACTTGGAGTGGCGAACCACATAAGGCCCCGATAGGTTAAGTGTGGTATTGAACCGGACGACAGCANCGACAGCAGAGCTGCCTACCACCAAAGTCGGGTGGCGGTGGCGGGGCTCGGATCATAGGGTCCAAAGCATGCCGGTGACAGCGACTAAACCACTGCGCCACCACCACTGGCTTTTACATATCCTCGTATCACACAAGTCTTCTGAACGCCTCAGAACTAAACGCGGGGGCTACGGTGAGGACAGCGAGCTTGTTAGCACCTTTCCATATCTCTAAGAAACCAGCGATTTACCGTAAAACTTCTGGAGTCGGGGTACCTCAAGGCAGTCGAAGGTAAACACTAGTTGCAGTAATACACCTTACCAGAGCAATTGTATCGGAAAACATTTGCTACTCACGTGACACATGGCAGATCCCCACAGCCGCGAAGATCTACCATTCATACCTTACTTTTTCGCACAGGTCTGAGTTCAGAATTAGCTCAAAAAAATCACGGTACGATAATCTTTATAAAAATAAAAATGTTCATGATTTGCTATTGAATAACAAAAGCCTGCAATTTGTGCCAAGAAACTTGGAGCGGAGAGTAGCGTATGCCCTCAAAAATATAGGGTGCATGTTCGTATGATCTGAATCATGGATTACCGAGAGAAGCTGATGGATTTCCACAGAGCATCGCAACAGCCGACGTCATGGACAGGTAGAGCAGTGAAACAGGTAACATGGTCCTACCAAGCGCCCACGGCGATTCAAGAGAGACGTCCTAAAACAAAATCGTTACACCATCCGAGTGTCAAAATCCAATGGTAATGCGGCTAGTAGCTACCAGAATGTCCGGTAGAGCCACCCTGATGCTAACTGGCAGGCGATATGCTCCATAAGAAATCAGTGATAAGACGAGCACATGCATGATGAAAGACTACCGTGTGAAAAAATAGAACGTGCGAATCGTTGCTGTCCACCGGTATCCGACGACCAAAACACTCGTTCAATCCGATATCCCGGTACCACGTCCGATACTACTACTTACAAGGTTGTAAGAGTGGCGTGTTACAATGCCTGGATTTACTCTTTCATTCTCCCTAGGCGACTGATAATCGGAAAACCTGAGATCGATGAACAAATTTCCTTCGAAATTAGCCATATTCAAAACAATCATGTCTGCCTAAAAGCGTGTGGTCCTCGAACGTGGACTAGTATTGGACCAGATCTGCCGGCGATAGAGAGATTGTATCGATCTTGGTCGGTTACTTCTGAAAAAGAATATCATTACGGTTAACCTCCGAAAAACCCTCTGCCAAGTTTCGCCCGACCTCATTGTGAAACTGTTCATGTTCCAGTTTCCATCGGCTTTTGTGTAATCGATATCAACAGTAAGCGAGCCATCCCCGTCCAAGATCTTAAGGGTCTTACTTCACTCGGTTCCCAAGGATCAATAACCGCAGCCATCTTGAATCTCATATTACTCGCTCCGCCTGCTACAATTCATGATATTTTTCCAACGACGACCATTATTCTCACCGCATTTAGAGCCANCAGCGATTATTAATGTGGCCGGACGCGGGTGCAATAAAACCCCTGCGCCTGACGCTTCACTTCACTTTATTTACCTGAGACATCTTTGCTCATCCGCCTTGGATTTCAAAACGACGGAGGTCTAAGAACTAGTACACTTTGAGAACAACTTTGCCGACCTCCTTACACACCTGTAATTGGTCCTAAAATGCAGTTGGTGCTTCTTTCCACACTTCTAACACCAATTAACTTATAGTTGGATTCATGTTCCCAAAAATCTATAAAGATTCAAGACAGTCGAAATCAGAATCCTCATCGGACATGTACAGCACAATGGCAACTGGAAAAATATTATACTAAACATTTATGACTTGTTGATGATGTGGGTTATCCGTTATGCTACTTGCTCAGCGGGTAACAAGGATACAAATGCTCATCTTTATAGTGCAAAATAGAACGAACAAGATATCTCCGCAACACTAGTTGCGAAGTTCAGACGGATCGCAACTGTTTTAGGATGAGACTCACCCGGACTCGACTTTCGTACAAAGCCCAAGTGCTTCCATTTGCTGAAGCGCCTTCCGGATAACACTTGAGTGGGCCAGGACACGATGGGAAGGCTTTACGCCGTTTCTCTTCTTACGAGAAAAAATCCGACGAAGACCAAGCATTCCGGTGGGACGAATGTATAAATGGCGCAAGATCGCCGCACACCTGACGTAAAACCAGTCGGGATCATAAGGTGCGAGCTCATTTGCCGAACTCAGTTTCACAAGATCAGACCACTCTGGCTGCTTAACCTTCCCGGTCCTATTTCAAACACATGAGAAAGTCACAGGGAGAACTTACTTCTTCAAGAACTGCGACAACGCTTTGATGAAAACGTGCCCATTGATGTCTTTTACCGAAGTTGGCGCCTGGGAGCAATAAAGAAATGAAAACCCCAACACTCACCATTTCAGCGTGCACCGCCACCAAATTAGTGAATTCAAACAAACTTTCCCGCCTTCTACTGATTCGACTCTGGTAGCATTTTCAGAAGAACCGAATGGCACCCTTATCAACCAATGTTATATTTTTATTTTACCTCACCGTTGTCGGATTGTGTTGTGGTCATACTATCCCCCTCAATCAATACGATAGGATGCAAACCGACATACAGAATACGTAATGGTAAAGACACGCCATTAGCATATCCGGTAGTCAGTCAGTTCAGCCCAGTTCAGTTCAGTTTGCACAAGACAGAAAATGGACACGGCCAATCGAGCGTCCAGAATTCCTTCGGTGGTATGCGGTCAAGTATGGCATCCACCACTGCGAAAAGTAATCCGTACTTACTGGCTGAAAAGAGGAAAGGAAAGACGTCTCATCTCACCTCCAAGGCGAGATATTGTTACACATGAGCGTTCCCCAATACATAGCAGAGCGAAAACAAAAAATATACAACCTGAGTGACCTACTTTCAATCCTCTCCGTTTTCTCAAGTCCCTGGCTTGTCAGACCTTCACTTCAGGAACAAGTTCACACCACCGTTCGTCCAGGGCCGACTTAAATGCTAGCTCCACAGGTAGTCTGTTCTATATGTTTACTGTCCTGTTACTGAAGAAGTATGACCGGGCTATTAGTCGAGACCGGACCTTGACTAGCTTCAATTCATGCCCCCTTGTACGAGAATCCAGTGCTTCCTGACAGGGTTTCTCGTCTAATACCAGATAAAACTTTCATTATCTTAAATAATTCTATCATACCTCCCCTGAGCCTTCTCCTTTCTAAAGAGAATAACGCCATGTCCTGAAGCCTTTGCTTGTAGCTTTTACCTGCCTGGCTGTAACAATCGAATAGGAACCGGAATTGAACAGCGCGAACTTGAACTCGGACTGAAAACC